GTAACACTTTTTTTAAGTTTACAATATTAAAAGGTATAAAAATATCACAAGTCATAACATGTATAAATGAAAAACCATAAAATCAAGTGAAACAAATGATTCAAATCAACTACAACATAATATTTAAGGTAAAACATATTGAATAATAAATATAATTATATAATTATAATCAAAAAAATAAAATTGGGGTTTAAAAAAATCATAACAAATGATGTCATTTGGTTTAATTGTTTAAAAAAAACAATCCCACATGGCTAAGAAACATAGAAGAGTATCCCAAAAGTTTAAAGAGTAAAAATATGAGAACAAAACAATCCCACATGGCTAAGAAACATAGAAGAGCATCCCAACTTACTTCTATAAATAATAGAGGTAATTTGACATTCAAAATCATGGAGCCTTTTGGTGAGCACAAAGCGAACTATTCTTTCGCTTCAATTGAGCTCAAATTTTAGGCTTCAATTGAGCTCAAATTTTAGGCTTCAATTGAGCTCAAATTTTAGGCTTCAATCGAACTTCTAATTTTTTTTTGAGTTCGAGCCTTTTCGATTTCAAGTTTTAATATTATATTTCGAGTTGATAATTTTTAGCTCGTGAGTTTTTGAGTTGAGTTGAGCTTACTTTTAAAGTTTTCGAGTTCGAGTCGAGCTCAGCAATACTCGAAGTTGACTCGGCTCGTTGAACAAACGACGCTGTTTGGTTTAATTCTTTTTTTAAAGAAAAAAAGTGAATCGGCGGTTCAAACCGGTTTTGCCGATTTTCAGCCGGTTCACCCCGATTTTCCCGGTTTTCAGCCGGTTCTTCCGGTTCTTTACCGGTTCTGTGCTAATCCGATTTTGGGAGTTAACCGGACCGGACAGGCCACCGATTCACGGTTCAACCGGTCGAACCGGCCGGTCCGGTCCGGTTTTAATAACATTGAGTAATTCACATGGCCAAGCACACAAGTCTATCACTCTCTCCTCCTACTTTTTACCGTTAATTTTAATAGTTTATTTTTACTCACCCAACTATATTCAACAAATAAAACTAAAAAATTTCATTATGTCAATCGATCATAAGATATCATCAATTCTATATCTCTTTATGAGAAAAATAAGGTACGAGAGATGAATGTCATTTCCATTTATTGAGCAAACCGTCATAGTTAGGGCTGTAAGGGTGTTAAAAATCGAGCACCCAGAATTTTCGGGTACCTAAATGTCGGCCCGTGTCCCAGCACATGACATCCGGGTATGGGTATCTATATTTTCGAATCACGAATACTCGGTTCATGATTTTTTTTTATTTTTTCTTTAAATTATATTATTTTTTAATAAATATATATATATATATATATATATAATTCTAAAATTTAAAGTTCTATAATATATAATTCACATATAAAATTCAAAACTTCAAATTAGATAATTGGAACAAAATTATTAAATAATAAAATAAAAATATAATTAAATTTCAAGTTTTTCGAAGTTAAAATAAATATTTTAAAAATAATTTAGAATGTTAATGTGAAATAATTTAAGAAATTTAAAATTTAAAATGTTATGGTAGCAAAATTTAAGAAATTAGGATTTTAGAATGTTAGAGTGAAATTATTTGAAAACTATAAATAAACATTCATATAAAGTAAAAATAATATATATATATATATATAATAAATTGGGTACCCTGTTAAATAACATTTCGTGACCCGAAATATATATATATATATAATAATTTGAAGTCTTGAAATTATAAACTATGGCTGGAGCACAAACATCAAACTAGGAGGTTGTCTCTGAATATCCCCTCCCTTTACCTCTGCCTCGACCACCTTTCTAAGACACTGCCACAAATCTCTTTGTCTGAATAGAACTCTCTCATGCCATCGGACAATCTCTAATAAAATGACCAATATCTCCACAACGGAAATATGCTCTCGAAACCTGCTCTATAATTTCACGGGTGATATTTACCACAATGTTAGCATAATGGAAACTGACCCTGAGTCTGAGCTGATCTACCAGCTCCAGTAGTTATTGTTTGTGACTGACAACCTTTTTCCTTTACATCAAATCCCTTATGGCCTGATTCACCACCTTCTAACTTACTCTATACTGATATCATGAACCTCAACCTCTTTTTAATTGGGACGAGGATGATGCTCCTGATCTCTTGGATTGTCGTCTCCTTTTAATCATAAAAGTTTCATTTTGTGTCATTTCCAAATCCTTTGCTTTATTTACCACTTCTTGAAAAGTGGTCAAATTTTTGGTTAATAGAAGTTCCTTCAGTATGGGGCAGAGGCCTCGAATAAACTTCTGACATACATCTCTCTCCATGGGAACCATCTCCAAATCATAGCGGGCGAGCTTATTAAACTCGCACTCATACTTATACATAAATCTATTACCCTGAATCAAGTTGAAAAAGTCATGTTTCATCTAAGTAATAAATTGTTCCCCGATGTATTTCTTCTAAAAAGCCTCCAAGAAAAACTGCCAAGAAATCTGATCTGGAGGAGGACATGTCGTCACATTTGTCCACCAAATCCAAGCCTGTCCATGCAACAATAAAACTACACCCTCTAGTCTTTCCTCATCCAAACAATGAAAACTATCTAACATGATATTGACATCGTTCAACCAAATGTCTTCCAGAATCGAGCCCTCATATGCTTCACCTTTAAATTCAATAGCCCCTAAACTTTTTAATTCTTCTGAAATCGGGACCCTCAGGGCCGAAGAGGAGGAGGTGGAGAAGGTGGTGGCGAAAGAGGGGGAGGTGTTTCTACTGTATGATATCAAGCCAAAATAGCATTCATAGCTTGTAAAAACGTTCCATGATCTGGAGTTGGCATTCCTTGATATGTTTGCTCCCCATGCTAATCGCGTTAATCATGAGGTAGATGCTCGACCTCATTACTTCTACCACTACTAGTTCCCTCTGGAACCTCCTTAGTAGCTCACCCAAAACCTTTTGAATTCGACATCTAAACAATATTCTTGAAATTTTATATTAGTAAGAAGCATCATCATAAATAAAATCATCAAACCATACCATATCAGTAATGTCGACATCCTAGTGGCATTTACATATTTAAAACATAAAGCAGGCTTGATTTAGGCCGAGAATATACTAAACCTGCAGCTCTGATATCAATAAATGTAACACCCATAGCCCATATACATCTCGAAATATGAGCTAAAGATGTCACTTTAACTTTACAAACATTCACTGAATATAAATGCTTAAAATTTTGTTTCGTTTTAAATCATATATCTATTTCAACCTTAAAACTATTTTCTTAATCACATAAAATCATAAATCAATATTTAAACATTGAAACCAAATTCATTTTCAGACAACGATAAGACAATTTAGTAATATTTCATAAACTATTTAAAACTGCTAAACTCCGCTACATTTTTACCAATTAAAACATATATATTATTCATTCATAACTACTGATAAAGATAAACTAGACAAAATAAAGTGGTCATGGTTTACTATTATAGATCATTAAATTTAAATTCAAATAAGCAACTAATAACATAAATTTACATGCCACTACTTAACAAAAGTAACATCCACTACTAGAAAAAAACCCCTTTAATGACGCGCATTGCGCGTCATCTATGGGTGCGGATGACACACAAATACCTGTCGTTGAAGCCACCAACATGAATTTCAGATGACACACAATTTTGTGTCATAAATCTATGACGCGCATTTATAACACACATTTATGACATACATTTATGACGTTCATTGAGCATCATTGAAGCCCCCGTCATAAATTAAGATGACACACATTTGTGTCATAAATATATGACACGCATGTATGACTTACATTGCGTGTCATTGAAGCACACGTCATTAAAAAAGATGATACACATTTGTGTGTCTTGATTGTATTTCGTAAATTATATATATATATATATATATCATATTATATATAAGCAATCCATTTGCATACAATATATTCACATTAAGTTATCAAAAATATTGTAATCATATGTCGATACAAAATATCACGGCATAATAAAGTTCTACTAATATGCCCTCGCCATCCGGGCGTGTACACAAAAATTAATTGAAAATAATTGTAACAATTAAAACTAGTTGCAATATATAGAACAAACACATTCCTAATATGCACATTAAACTTATGAAAACACCTTCCTTGGTCCAGTGTATTTATGCACAAACATGCACTCATGTTTCAACAAACCAAGTGACAGCTTACTTTTTGAAACTCTATCAGATTTTTCATCAACTTTGTATTCTCAATTCTAATGGAGTTGAGGCTTCCTGATTCTAGTTATGTTTCATCAACCATCAAGTTTGAGTTCGCAGGTAGCTGAATAACTCCAAGAATCAATCTGCAATACAACGTGAAGTTATTTAGAAAAGAAAAAGTTGAAGGTTCCAAGTTACAATACAAATATAAGAATTGATATCAGGTCCCACATCCATCCAATTTTTTCGTACTAATGTGGTTTTACAAATAAATCCAAATAAAACTGCTACATGAAGCATAAATTTTCACTTCTAGAATGTCTTACAAAAAGAAATGAGCAAACTAGTTGACTAAAAATAATATATTTCATTTGGAAATCCTTCACAAAAGTTCAGCAAAATAGAATCTAACATCATCTAGCTAAGGGATGTAATAAACTGTTCTAAACGTAAATAAAAATTGAGCTTATAAAATTTTAATTCAATCAATGTAACATATTTAGCTTTAAACTAAGCAAGTCCATTCAAGCAATTCATGCAAATAAAAATAGTTACATAAATTACCTGCTGAATGTATGAGGAGAAAAAACATAGGTGATTGCTCATAAGCTCCATCTTTCATCTTTTAGTTCATGAGACTTAAGTGAAAAAGGTTATCAAGCTTGATCCCTTGGAAATTATCAAATAGAAGCTTAAACAAAGCATAAGTGATTGCTAATAGCTTCCTGTTCCAGTTTAAAAAACAGTGTCAGTCTATAAGCTGCGACAAGGTGTTTTGGGAATAAACAATAACTGCCATGTTAACAGGACTGATCCTCCGTGATAAGCTCGAGTTTCACTCATTCATGGATCCAATAATGACCCTTTGATAAATGCCATAATTCAACAATGACCCTTTGATAAATATTGGAACACGATGTTAGACAACATGGATCCAATAAATCTGTTATTTGCTCATTGTATATCTGCAAAAGAAAATTGAAAATGAAGTGATAAGGAACAAGAATAGTACAACGCTAAGCAGTCTAATTATGTCAAAACTAAGAATCAAAATAATTCAATTAACTCTTCCTCAAGAAAAGAACAACAGATTTGATACTTGAGATGTTTATCAGCATGCTTAATTCACAACTTCTAAATGGGAAATATAGTACAACTCAAATACCCACCTTGGCACATAGAACTCCAATTACAATCCCTCTAAGGTGGGAAAGACGGACAATAATGCATAAAGTATGGAAAAAGGAATTACTCAATCGCACTGATTTAGCAAATTAGATTACTACATTACATACCGATCAGCTGGTAACCACATAAGTCACATATAAGTTAAATGTCCTAGGGAATAGACCATTAATAGTAATTTAACTTTGAAAAAGGCTTGCGATGCTATATGCGTGAAAAATAGAATACATAAAGGATATCATAAAGGCAAAAGCAAGAAATTCATAGATCAGTTAAAAGCATAGCAGCAGAGCCCCAAACAAAGGAAACTAATTAACACATAAAATATTAGGAACAGAAGGCATATTGACCCAATTCACAGTTGCTGAATATATGCTTTTAAAACATTTGATGGCTTTGTTTCCCCTATAAATATCTACCCAATTCACATTTCTGAATATATGCAGCATTAGGATATTCACAGCTTCAGATCCAAAACATATTACAACCTTAGCCATATTAACTTGGATACTGACCACTCATGCCTCTTAAAGAGAATGATTTATTAATTCAATATTGACTTGTCATATATAGGAAGAAGAAAATTAAATTTTTTTAACTTTCACCATGACTAAAGAAGGTTATATTTCTTCTCTTATTTATTAGCATTCACCAGAACTAAAAAAATAATCCTACATAACCTTTGCATCGAAAAGGGAAAAACATTGTTCATGACAATGAACATTAAAAAATACCCTATGATTACAATGAGATAACAATTACATTCTTAAACCCACATAAGAGATCTATAATGGAAAATAAACAGTAAGAAAGAAAACACAACCCACCTCTTCTTAACTTGTCTATTGATTTTTCTTCATTCTCGAAGTAGAGGACAGGGATTTAACGTTTGGCTCCGAAGTTCTGATTATGAACAAAAGTGTTTCAAGGAGCATGCCAAAAACCAATCCAATAATACCTCTAGCAGAATTTTGCAATATAAAACACAACATCATCAGCACATTCAATTCTTAATAAATAATCTAAAATAAGGAGCACATAACATAAATACTTCAGATTTGAGATTCCTAGTCTGAAATTACCATGATGGGACTGTGGTTAAACAATGCTCTGAATGCAAAATGTCCAACCAAATACCCAGTAAACATTATTAGCGCAACATGTAAACCTGTTCATTCATATATCACTGGAAGTAAGAAACAATATTGTTAAGAAACAGTATGACAGTCATAACAAAGAAAACTACTAACCAAAGCCAATTTGATCCTTGTAAGTAGAGAAAGGCTCATGGACATTCTTCTTGGGCGTGATATCTTTAACAAGCTCTTGATACTCTCTCCTCTCTGCTTGTTCTTTAAGCTTCCTTAACCTCTCCTTCAATTCTTCACTCTACAAATTCAAATTTCAAAAAGAAAAGGGGAAAAAACATCGCGGTTAAAACGAAAACGCGGCCATGAAAAATCTAGAACGCTAGAATCTAAGGTATGTTCAACTTTACCTTCTCTCTGGGTTTAGGGCTGGCGAAAACGAAATTAGATCCAGAGAAAAGAGAAATCAATCCGGGCCTAGCCTCAACATCTGACTGGATCCATAAGCTTCGAATCTGCTTGTACGATGCATCGGTTGCCGAGGAAAGAGCGAGAGCGAGTTCTTGAAGCTCTTGAGAGAGACGCGGGTCGTCGGAGATGGAGAGGAGAAACGATCGAATGGATTCGGTCAACGTTATCACAAGACCGGTTTGGTTCAGGTCGTCGGAGCTCATCTTTTTGCTTTTCTTTTCAATTTTGTTGTGGGTCGGAGGCGATGAGAATACGTTGGATTTGGGTGTTTCTTCGCTCCTAATAATTGTTATTGTCTCCCCATTCTCATTCCCGGTGGCGATGGATTACCCATTAATTACAATTACAAATACATTTTATATACAAAAAAATAGTAGTAGTGATGAGATTTAATTGAAATTTCAAGTTTCATCAAACAAATCAGTGGTTAAAACTTAAAAAAAATAGAAAAAAGAAAACCTGGAGTGGAAGAGCTTGTCCATGATGGAATGAAACATCTTCTCTGGATCGTTGGTCATTTCTTCTTAATGGAATAATAATATCTTACCTTTACAAAAATGAAACAAACAAGGATTTTGTTCAACTTTTGTCGCTCCTACAACCACTGGGCTCTTCTAATCATTGCCTTCCTTACAACCTGTATCAGTTTTCCTTAGATGATTTTGGGTGCTCTCGTTTAGATTTTGGAGGGTAGGGTTTGGGGAATAAGCATTCTCCATTTGATCTCTTAATATCGTGTTTCTTGGTAACATTAATACAAAGAGAAAGGGAAACATAGGTTTAGTGTGAACTGATGATCGAGGGGAAGAAGCGGGAAATGATGAAAATTATAGGGGAAATAAAAAAAACGACTCTTACAGATGACACACAATTAAAAGTGTACTCTATGTTTTTGTAAATTTTTTAGATTATGACTATTAAATATGACACACATTATTGTAAGTCATAAATCGTTCAGATTTTAAGAAACATGACATTTTTTTATGACACACATTTTCTGCAAGTTATAAATTAGTGTGTGTCATCGTTCGTGTGTCATTAAAGGTATATTTCTTATATTGATCAAAGATGTCTTACTGATACAGGTAGTAGGTGTGATTCCTAAAAAGATGCTTGGGAGGCTCCTCACTACACGTCCTTATTATTATATGAACCTACGCATAAAAATCATTACGCACAAAGTATAACTTAGTGAGGCAGTAATAACCTAAGGTGAGATAAAACGTAAAAATTAACATAAAAACATTAAAAATAAATAAAACATTAAACTTTCAAACCGACTTATTCAAGTCAATTTCTTTATAGTAACCAGAAATTCAACTTATCTCATAATTTCATAAAGATCGTGATAAATAAAATCATATAAAATAATCATATTATTTTCCTGTCGACTTGACATAATTTATAACTTAAATTTATTTCTTTTTCGTATCTCAATGTATATTTAAGATAATATAAGGTATGTGAGTAGAACATAAGGTTTTGACTAGGCATATCACGGTGCCAATCATAAATGATAATAAGATGCACTCAAAGTGTAAATCATAACATAAGCACCCACAGTCCAATACATGTTGTACACGAATGTTTCATAACTTAACTTGAAAGTACTCAACTTAATGGTATGAAAAATGTACCTATGAATCCCAATGCAATATACAAGGGGCTTTTAGATCATATCATAATCATTTAGTCATCCTTTCAAAATCAAAAATATTTTCAAGTCATCATTCGTAAAATATAAACTTGGGAAGTTCATACCCTAAATCATCCATAAAACATTTATATAAACATTATGGAAATAATCCATAATTAAAGTAGAAAGGCATAATGCAACAAAATAACCATAACGTTTGACAGTGGTGTCAAACTTGCTTGTATTATTTTTTGGAACATTTGACCCCTTAATGTTTCATTTTGGGTAAAAGAACACCCTCGTTGGATAAAAATCGTTAGTCAACTAATGATCAACGCCTAATGTTGAAGAAACATGTACGTGTGGAGGGAGAAGCTGATGTGACTGTCGATGTCATGGTGCTTGATGATGTGGCATTGCCACGTCAGTTTTTTTATAAAATAAATTTTTGAAATTTATTATCAATATATATATTTAATTATTTGTTACCAATTAGAGAGTGACACGTGTCACTCTCTGATTGGTTCTTGTTTAATGGAATTATTAAAAGCTTTCATTTTCAGTAATGGCTCTAACTTCTTCTTCATCCCTAGCTATCAGCACCACCATTACCACTATGCTAAAACATCATCTCCAATCTTTAAAAGAACCCACCACTCTTTCTCCTTCCCTCTCCACCTCATCATCAAAACGCCTTCTTTCATCAGCAACTCCCAATACAAATATCAACCCTTTCCCATCATAAAGTCTTATGTCCCTCAAACTGAGGACTAAAGTTTCATTCTTTTATGGGGTTTTCACACAAGAGAGAGAGATGTGAAGGGCCTAAAAGATACTTTTTTTATGCCATAGAACCTCACGATCGTGGCACCAAGGCTACCCTAGAGGATAGAGAGCATGTGGATCAGGTTAATTATGGTAGACCCTTTATTGTTTTCTTCATAAAATTCAAGTGATATTTTTCATTTTTTCTTGCTTGTTCAACAATGGGATTTCTGTTGTAATTTAGGTTGCAATCAAACTCGAGGCAGTGAATGAGGTAAAGGAGCATATTAAATCCAAGTTGTTGAATGGAAAATGGAAGCTTTTGTACACAACATCCAAGTCAGTTCTACAAACAAAGGTCTTATATTGATCCTCAATCTACCATTTCTCTTCAACTTTTTTTTTTGGAAAAAAAATCCATTTTTGATCATCAGAATCTGTGTGTTATTGTACAATATAGGCCAAAGTTCTTGAGACCCGATGGAAAGATCTACTGATGATGAGTCAGTGAATCACTATTTGTGTAGGAAATGTGCATCTCAGCCTATCGCCGTCCTCATTATTCCTGAGATCAATCTCTACAAGTTTGATCTATGACAGCTTCCAGGTACCATTTTCTCTTTTCTTTTGTGGTTTTACAAGGTTTAGCATATGAGATCCGATTCGTATTTTCTTAGGATTCTATTGATTGATTTCAGTATAAGAGAACTTGTTTCATTTTTTTTGTTTTTAATTAGGGATAAATGCTTTAGCTTTTTGGGTGATTTAGTAATTTTGGTTATTTGATTTATGGATTTTTCGGAATTGAAATTGGGTTGATTTGAGGCACTGATTAATTGATTTTGGTTTCTATTTGGTTTATAGATATGTCATTGTACGGTGAAAAAAGTGGTATTTCTTCTCACCAAGGGATAGAAAATACCCAAACAGAATTCGATCGAACCGGGCGACCGAAATGGGATACTAGAAGACAAATTTTACAAATTCATATTTAAGCCAATGAAATGATGATAAGTGTCATCTTTGTATTGGTTGAAAATTATTAAAAAATTAATATAATTATTTAAAATAATTAATTTTTGATGACATATCCACATCATCACCTTTGCATATGTGGCATTACCACATCAGCATGTGATGTTAGATAAGCTTGCCATGTCATCTCCATGTGTTGACAGTTAGTTGATTAACGATTTTCATCAAACGAGGGTGTTTTTAACCCAAAATGAAACATTAAGGGGTCAAATGTTAAAAAAAACAATACGGGCAAATTTGACACCATTGTCAAACGTTAAGGTTATTTTGTTGCATTATGCCAAGTAGAAAACATACTTGAAAAATAATATGAGGTTGACTTATCGAAAGTCATCCTCGTTCAAAATAATTAAATAAATAAATTGCACTTACCTTTGCCTCACTATTGAACCTTTTATACGACACTCCTAATCACGTCCTTTGTCCTTTCCTTTCGGGTCGTTTGGATTGCTGGATTTTTCATGATCTGACATCATCACATATTAACACAAAGTATTTGAACTATATGTTAGTATCTTACTAACATAAGCTAACTTTAAAAACATAAAAGTCGATAAAATAAAATAAATACTATCGATAAATTAAATCATTTTCCACCATACTTCAAACTTCCTAAAATGATTATTCATTTCCATAAATTTTTATTTTCTTCACTAATCCTTTAACTTTTATTAACTTCATAATCAAGTCACTAATTATGAATTCTTTCTAGAATTTACCTTAACTTTTCCATTAAATTCATAATGATCCTTCACCATTATGATCATTGCATATTAATTACTGAATTTTCCAGCACCTTCATAAAATACCCAAATCAATGCTCTAACATTTAAAAACTTGAAATTTCATCCTAAAATTTCTTAAACTTTCAAATTCAACCACCCAACCTTATAAATTTGCAATTTGATCCCAACTCAATAATTAAACTAAAAATTCAGCCCACTAATAAAATTTCCAGCATTGCAATTTTTTGTTCAAAGTAATACCAACACATTAGAAAACTCACAAACAAGTCCCTAAATTTTAGAACTTTTCAAATTCCACAACTAAAGTTTACCAAACTTATAATTTTGTTCTAAACCATTTTCTAACTTGAAAATTTCAGCATTTCAATATTAAACTTCAACAGTGAACACCTCAAATATCACATTCTTGCAATGATGTCTCACAATTTTCAAAACATGTAAATCAACCATTTTTCTAAATCAAGCTTCCGAATTGATCTCCAAATCATATGAAACACTTCTAATATTAATTCTAGACCATAGGAAGTTTTTCAACATTTTCTCCTATTTTTCCTTTTATGGTCGAATGCTTTATGTTACCTAGGGTGGACTTTTTGTTCAATTTCAAGCATAAATCCATCTTCCTTACATTAAATTCATGCTATTTTAATCATCATAACAACACATTAAATCCAAATCCATCAATCCTCCATATACCCTTAAATTGGCCAAACCTAATATAATTAATTTCAACCATCATACATGCCTTAGAATTAATCTCCAACTTAAAAAACATAATAATCTTTTCATAAAATCTTCAAAATCCATAAACCCTAATCACCAAATCTCAACATCCAAGCATGTCTAGCATGAATCTCGTATACCAAATGATAGAGAATTTGATGTAAATCAATTCTCTATTTCACAACTTAGTCTAAAAATCAGTCATATATCTTTAAAAATCAAAACAAAATTTCTTACCTTGGAACAATGGTGTATTCGACCTATGCTTGAAAAATGGCTGAAAATATGCCAATTTTCTTGATTATTCTAGTATTTAACAACTAATACACTTGGCATTCAACTAATATAATTGAATTTAAAATTCAATTATTGATAAATCCCCAAAATACCATTAATGAAACTTGATATTTACCAATTTCCATTGCAATATTTTTCATTAAAATATTCCTTAGTCGAAGATGAATAAACTTATCTTTGACTTTTTACTTTTTCCATGCAAGTTTTGAAAATTGCATTTTAGTCACTAAATTTTCCACTTTTTGCCCAAATATAAAAAATTACACTGATCTATGCTAAATTTATTAGATATAAAATATGGAAACAAATATTTCCAACCCTTATCTAATATCCTTCAAATTTTCGTGAAATTACGACTCGATTTGATTATCCGATTTCTATATCGAACTTTATTGCTTTATAACTTTTAATAAAAATCTCGTAACGAAAATCTAATTACCACGATAATTCTTGTTTTAGGCCAAACTTTTATTTTACGGGCTAAAGTTTATAACTTTTCA